CAGATTGTGTTCCAGTACGGACATGTGGATGACTGGAAACTCATAAAAAGAAGAAAAAGAACTCAGGATGTTAATGAGTTAGCATTCCCCATCCCCCACCCCCAACAGACTGGAAAAGTAGGTCACAGGATAGGCTGGGCGGTACGAGGTAACTCTGGGACTCACTGACAGAAATCACCCTGCCAAAGCCACCTCCCCGACTTTGGGCCCTTGTGCCCCTTCACTGCCTGAGTATACAGTGGAGAGATCGGAGGACAGAACTTCTCTGCAAGGCTGCCACCTCCCCTCCAGCGAGTTCTCCCCGCTAAAAGGTTCCCTTCCCCCGAGTGCTCCTTAGTTATTGGTTGTGGCGTTTCACGGGGGCAATCTCTGGGTGCAGGAAGCTTGGGGGTGTGCATGGATATCATGACGCTCAAGGGTTAATATTCTGTAGGCAATGTGACAAATTAATCCAGAATTACACAGCATGCTGACAGATGATAACGGCAAATTCTGAGATGGATAATATTATGGCATTGGAAGTCCACACAAAGATGCCACCGTTAAGGCACAACTTAAGATCTATGCAACCTGCAGGTAAAAACATAACTGGTCATTAGTTCATTCAAAATGTATTTATCGAGTGAGGGGGATGGATCTTGTCTCCCAAGTTTAAGGTCTGGTTGGCATAAACCAAAAGGCCACTGGACTTCCAACAAAATAATCTCCGAAAACAAATAGATCTTTTAATATACAAACTGTTTCATGTCTTAAAATGTATCTATCAATAGGACATTCTTACGTAGTTCTTTCACACTTTAATGTGTGAATTTGAGGACTCAGAGTTTCTTTTACTTAACATGAGAACATATGCCTGAGAGAACAACTCTGCATGTTGTCATTTTTTGAATTTATGTGAATGTGTGGTTTTATGCTGGGGAGTGACTGTGTAAATTCAATGCTGCTCAAATGAGGAGGGCCCAATTAAAGTCTACGGCCAAGGTCCCAAGGCCCTAGGAACCGTAATTATATCACCCTCAAAACAGCAAAGTGAGAAATCCTCTCATTGGAAAGTTAACTCTTCCAAAATCACATGAAAAAATAAAAATAAACAATTCAAGTTTCATACTTTTTTTAAAAATCCCACCAATAGCTTAAAAAGATAACAGAAAAACCAGTTCAGGGATAATCAATAAAAGTAGTCACTCTTATGAGGTATTGATCAAAAATCTTCCTGAAACCAGAAATGCACTTTTGCAAAGGTGGCTTCCTTCCGTATCCCTGCCGCTTGCAGTACATGGTTCAAGAAACCATTTTCTCTGTTCATATGAAAACATCAACTTAGTTAATCTTCCAACTGGATTAATCAATCGGAATAGAATAGTTTTAGTCATATGACTGTCTGCTCAGGACCAGCTGTTTTAAATTAGTATGTTAAGTAATTCAGACACTTTTCTTTGCAAAGGTTGCGTGAGTTAATAAATTCCCATATGCCCCAGCATGGGCCAGCACCGCTAGGTTATCTTCAATCCAGCTGCTGGTATGGTAATCGCTGCCAACTTTTGAACAACTGAAGAGAATAATGAATCAACCTCAGGCTGGCTCGTAAGTAAACTTCTGTTGCTCCCAGCTAAAACATTAAAAAGGTTTCACCTCCAGTGTCTCAGAGATACGGCATCATGAACATCGCTGAATTCGTAGTTTAAAAGCCTGCAGCGCACAGTTTGGAGGTCAGTGTTCAATGCGATAGGTTGTTTTCAAAATTGGATTTTTTGGTGCGACGGGTTAGGAAATGTCCCATCCCTAATTCATAACATGAATATATAAGTCTCCTATTGGTGAAGGGAAAAAAAAAAAATCAAGATTCTTAGTTGTTAAAGGCTCACTAGGAAAAAAGAAAAAGGCTTCAGAAGCTTCAGAGGAAACAAGACATTAGGACAGGAGCTTAAAAAGCAGATATAAGAGGAGAGCACGAAATAAACCATTTGAAATCAGGGTCGATTTACGAACGCACAAAAGCAAAATGACGGTATAAGGCCCTCTTTCTAAAAAAGACAGTACTTTACTGAATTTTGATAAAACGCTGGCCAAAACAACTTTGTGCTGGATCAGTTATCCAGACTAGCAGTTCTACTATAGAAATCTCTGAAACTTTGGTGTTTCCTATAAGTGCTAATCTATTTGGCATAAAGCTGTGCCGTTTTTTAATAGGAAAAGTAAGCAAACTATGAGAGCGGAAGCCTGCTAAAAAGACTTCATTTATTTCTCAATGTTTGTTGCAGTTGGAAATTCCTCCCTGAATGGGTGGACTTCCCCGAAAGGACAGGAACCCTTTTCCCTGAAGAGCAAAGGTGGGTTATACTGTCTGCACGGGGTGAGCGAGCGAGCGAGCACTGTACTATTCCTACAAGCAACAGGACAGACTGGACAAAAGACAGAACTTTACGGTTCTGATGAGCTCTCTAAAACCATGCAAGGATCACCTTATTAGCAGTCATAATTTAATTTCTTCTTGCTTTCCAAAGAGTCCCTGTAACTTTTATCAGGAATACCATGTTGTCTGCCTTCTACATTTTTCCAATACATCCTGTAAGTTATAATCTAAGTATGGAATTGTATACCGAGGTTGCTTTCACCCTCACTGTGCATAGCCAATAAAGAGTTACAGATGCTTAGAGATGCTATCTAGACTCATGCTCTACCACGCCAGTGAATCATACCACTTGAAACTGACATTGTGGATGGACGGGTTATGGGATGGGGTGTCTTCTCCAGAGATCTCCAATATCCTTCCAGGGATCCCTGGTATTTCCAGTGCTGGAAATATTGGAGATCCTCGGGTACAGCACTTGGTTCTGGGATCCTCCAGACAGTAGAATAGTTCTAGAAAAGCTACACAGATGCCTCAGGGTAACTCAGAATCCAAAGAAAGGAAAATGAGTTTAACCCATGAATAAAGGCAAGAGACTATTCTCTAACACTTTGATGTGATCATCTTTTGACCTCTCTCTACCTCATGGATGCTGTTGAAACTGTTCAAGATGCAACAGATTTAAAAGGTCCATCTTTGGAACAACATAAAAGGCTAGAACTTATTGTGAAATTGTTGCCCAGTTAGGTAGCCACAGTAATTCCCCCAAACAACTGAGTCAGCACTCACCCAAGTGGAGGAGAAAGAGAGGTGTTGATTCCTTACCTCATTGAATCACATTAATGCAACAAAGCACTTGGAAAGTGTTCTAGTCTATTCTGCACAACAGGATGCATGTCTACACTTGGCAAAATCTTGTGCAACAGGTATGAATTGTGCACATTATTTGCTACTACCCTAGTTATAAGCAAGAGGCAAGAAATTTCACAGGTGCAACAATATGTTTGCAATTTTGAAAAACATTCCATTCACCAGTGCCAACGTGCCCAAAAGAACTCTCTCATATGAGACAAGTTTACCTACAATAAGCTAGAATAAATGCAAAGGAGGGATACCGGGCAACTTAATAGACATCTAACATAAAAATTCTTATTCTTTAGCCTTGACCTCAGTTTTCTTTAAGAGCAGAAAGTATTATAGATGGTAGAGATCTGTCATTATTCTGTTTTCTGCTTTGAAGACTGTATATACTTAATGATTATAATTATGAAATCCTAGAATAAATATGCCTTCTATTCACTGATTTGAATATTTGAACAATTAGCTGTGTTTGTTTGACTGCACACAAATGTCTTTATTTCTAGTGGTTAGGAAAATCAAGAAATGCCTAGAGGTGAAAAAAAAAATTAGAAAGACATACAGGAAAGATGAGGAAGGAAAGAGAAAGTAAATAGAAGAAAAAGATTTTAAAAGATTTCTATGTAGTCAGGATAAGTCACTAATTGAAGGTGGAAAAAATAATTGCTTACAATTTGTATAAAGCAATCACATCCATGTAGCACTCTGACATGGTACAAAGATACATAATTATAAACAAGAAGATGGAAATAAAAAGTTGTAACTTAATTAAGAAAAACAACAGAGGAAAAAAATTATGGGAAGTAGGAAGACCCATGCCTCAAATATGCCAAGATAAATGACATATCCCCAGAGGGGAGAACAGTGCCCTAGACTTGAGAAGGTTTTGTATGACCTTGGCCAGCCCTACTATTTCCTGCCTTGTATAATCACAGAAGGCAGTCAATGTTTGGTGATGATGATAAGTAGGATTTTGAAGAATATAATTATGGGCTGCAAGTGTTTTCTGTGGAAACAAAATGATCATTCATGTCTAAGATTGTGTAAATACGCCTTAATTTTGGTCAACAGCAATTTCAACCTTGAAAAACAGAATCCTAAAACCTCCTTATAAATCACAATTCTTCAAGTAATCTTCAGGGATAAGCGTGTAAAAGCAAAGATGTTCCAAATACTCTTCAAAACATGCTACTCAGTAGGGCGCCTGGGTGGCTCAGTTGGTTAAGCGACTGCCTTCGGCTTGGGTCATGATCCTGGAGTCCCTGGATCGAGTCCCGCATCGGGCTCCCTGCTCGGCGGGGAGTCTGTTTCTCCCTCTGACCCTCCCCCCTCTCATGTGCTCTCTCTCATTCTCTCTCTCTCAAATAAATAAATAAAATCTTTAAAAAAAAATGCTACTCGGTAGAAAATTAACTATTTTGTAGTGACATGATTTGGCCTATCTCCACATCAGAACCAGCTCACCACCTCAAGAAGCCACATTAAAGGGGATTTAAGCAAAACCAAAGCTGTTTTCATCTACTAGGTCAGGTATAAAAATGATCACAATGCACACTACCTTACAGAGACTGGCAATCTTACACAAATTAATGGTGTGTCGTGCACAGATGGGAGGTAGATATAAGAAGAAACCACATCAAGGGTCCCTAAGGAAACTTAAGGGCTCAGAAAGCTTCAGAACTCTCGCCTTCTCTCTGGTACCTTTAATTGTGGCTACAATAAGTGCATTTTTGCCACATGCTTTTGTAAGAAAAAAAGGAACGGTTATTTTCTTAAGTACTAACAGACTTACTTCTCTTTCAGAAAATCCACTACTCTTTTGAAGTCAGCCACGCAGTATTCTCGTTTCATTTCCATGAGGACAGTGTCAGAGGCAGACTGGACCGGGATGTGCAGAAAGGCATAGACTCGGGGATGATTAAGGATTTTTGCCATTTCCTTTAAAAAAAAAATGGAAGGAGAAAACATTAATCATTTTAAGGAATTAGGTAATGGTTTCCTTCAGATCAACACCCACAGGGGCAAGCAAACAAACATAGCTGAAAACAGACCCATCAGCTGGGCTCTTCGAGCAAACGTTAACAGGTAATACTCTATGATGACATTTGAAAATTCAACATGACTTTCGGAGGATTCCACACAAGACTTATTTCCTCATGCTCGTTGTCTCTCTTAGGTGACAAAACGAAGGTAAACTCATGGAATGCCTAAAGAGCAAGATTTTTGAGTACTTCAAAATAAACACCACTCCTCCCTTTTAAAACTCCCGAGGCAGTTTTATATTCTGCCTCGCTACGTTAGTTAGCAGGAGAAACAGCAATAGTTAAACAGTTAAGGCTCTATAATCCTGTGTACTTGAATAAAATCTCCAGACTTAAGGCCAGTCAACACTTAAAAAAAAAAAAAAAGATTTTATTTATTTGACAGAGAAAGACACAGCGAGAGAGGGAACACAAGCAGGGGGAGTGGGAGAGGGAGAAGCAGGCTTCCCACAGAGCGGGGAGCCCGACGCGGGGCTCGATCCCAGGACCCTGGGATCACGACCTGAGCTGAAGGCAGACGCTTAACCGACTGAGCCACCCAGGCGTCCCAACACCTTTTTTTTTTATTTAAATACCGAAGGAGAAGGAATGTATAACCTGTTTCTTTCTCAGCTAGTCAGTGAACATGTATTTTTTGAGCATCTACGATGCAAAAGAGACAGCGTCACACACCAAAGCAGCCTGCTGGCCACAGGTCACCTGCTGACATCCAGATGTAGAAGAGGGAAGAAGGGAAGAACAGCAAGAGGAACGTAGCTGGTCAAGTCAGAGCAAACCAGAGTGAGACAAACCAGAGGGTGCTTTATAAAATTCCTCAGAGGATACAAAGGTGGGCAGGGAGAAGAACAACGGAAGGAGAGCTGTGGTAATGTGAGCATTTATGAAAGCAGTAAGAAAACAGACTGATTTAGCCCTTCTCTGCTGCCCCACTCCAGGCTCACCCACTGGAGGGCTGGGGAAGGGGCAGGAGAGGAGAGGAGGGAAAGAGAAAGGGGGTGGTGGCAGGGAGAGGACGCCTACAAAGAGACCAAAAGTAAGAGTGTTGAGAAAGGAGCTGCTCTGGGGTAACTTGCACGTGACTAGTGATTTTTGGTTTTTAAAGGACCGTGTTATCACATCTGTTACTTCATTTTCATCCTTAGAACAGTATTTTGAGGATCTTATGTGGAGTCAGAGAGCCAGCTAATTCCGAAGAGTCACCTCCTAGTTATTCAGGGGTCAGTCATGCATATGGACCAACCACGCCCTGCGTGTCTCCACTTTCTTTCTACCCACTGCGACCATGAGGGCACGTGGAAGAAAAGAGCAATTAACTCAGATCTGTCACCTTCTCAATAGCGCCTCAGTTGTTTTAAAAAATCCCTTCGGACTAAGAAATTCAACAGCCCAATAATATTACTCATGGATATGTTTTATCCATACTTTATTAGAAATTAATAGGTATATATACCTTATTTTATATATATATAGGTGTATATATATATATATATATATGGACAGATAGATACATATAGACATACCCATTAGAACTGGAGTTGAAGAGTTTCTTATCTAATAGAAAAGTAACCAGTTAACGTATTATCTGTTCACAAAACTGTTATATTTCTTGGCTGGGCTTTTAGCCGGGAGGCTCTTCCTACCCTTACACGGTAGGCGTTAAACCATTGTGTCTGAGGCTGTGCGAGGCAACACTTAGCATTACGTACCTGATAGTAAATATGCTGGCTTTCCGCTATGCTTCTGTACCTTTCAGGGCTTTCATGCCTGAATATCAGGATTCACAAACAGTATAAGAAAAGTCCTTGTTTTCTAAAGGGGCAGGATTCTGCATTCACTAACTTTCAACATACCTACGGTGATAAAAGATGACCCCTTAGCAAAAAACACAGTCTGGGAGATGAAATCCCACACTCCACCTCTGTGCCTTGGTTTCCTTATCTGTGAAACCTAGACAGTGGTAGTACCCACCTCCTAGGGCTACTGGGCTATAGGGAAGATAAAACAAGATAATTCCGTATGTGCTCATCTGTAAGCCCTCAATAGACAAGTCATCCAATATTCTTCTTCCTTGCACAGTATCTGAAGTTCATGGTCACACATGTTCATACAGATTAATGGGAACCTAAGGGAACCTAAAAAGAACAGCTTTGCAATGAACTAGTTCCCTCAGCTAGTAAGTGAAGGAGAGTTAACTTGTGCTAATTTTCATACAACAGACTGGAATGGGGTTCCCAGCAACCAGGACCCTGGGCCAGGAAGGGGAGTGCAGTTTCTCCCGGAAACCTGAGGGCGGCTGCCTACTATTACTACTACTACATGCAGGATACTGCATTGGATGAAGTACTGCCCTGTTACAGTATGACAATTTATAAATTAAAATTTAATAGCAAACAAGTAGGATAAATTTGGTGGGTTTTCCCTTTGGCTCTCAAATAAGACTTACCACTAGTAATGACTTTCAGCTTCATACTAGAGACTTTGCAATTCTAGAATGGTAGGCACCAGAAACAAAATAAAAATAACCTGGCCCCTTAATTAAAGTCTGTATTTCTCCTACTAAAGGAGTTATGACTTAACATAGATTAATGTGCCCCAAAGAGACAAAGTACATACTTTTGGTTCTGTTTTTAGTTCTATTCCCCTTCTTGAGAGCTCAACATGTTGGCTAAAGACCCTTTGGTTTCTTCACCCTTCAAAATTCTTTTATTTTTAATAAAGGTTTAGCTTCTAGTTACAGGTTCTCTGGTGTCAGAGATTACTTCCTCTCTGATTCCTCAGCAACTGTTCCTGGTGTTATCCGAGTGCATTTTTTTTTTAAATTTTATTTTATTATGTTATGTTAGTCACCATACAGTACATCATTAGTTTTTGATGTAGTGTTCCATGATTCATCGTTTGCATGTAACACCCAGTGCTCCATGCAGAACGTGCCCTCTTTAATACCCATCACCAGGCTAGACCGTCCTCCCACCCCCCTCCCCTCTAGAACCCTCAGTCTGTTTCTCAGAGTCCATAGTCTCTCATGGTTCGTCTCCCCCTCCGATTTCCCCCCCTTTATTTTCCCCTTCCTACTATCTTCTTTCTTATTAACATGTAATGTATTATTTGTTTCAGGGGTACAGGTCTGTGATTCAACAGTCTTGCACAATTCACAGCGCTCACCACAGCACATACCCTCCCCAATGTAGCTGCAATCACTGAGTGCATTCTTGGTTCTGCCTTGCAACATGAGGCTCAATCTCCAAGACGGAGGCTCGACAGGAGCAGGGAATATGGTTTACTCCTCTCGCTGGATCCCCACAATGGCTAGTACTGTACTAAGTATACCACCAAACCATACATATATCTGGGTTACAACCACACAAACATACATACAAAGAGATTTAAAATATAAGTGCTATTTGAAAGGAAGACAAATTTTCAATTAGTAACAGTTCAGTCTGACTAAGGCAGGTTAACACATATTCAAGCAGGTGAACAAACATGATTGGCCTGCCTTAATTTTTGGAAGTGAAAAATCACAGGTTAATATATAGGTAAATACAAAGTAAAAATCAGACATTTCATTGGTAGCTACCTCCCCCATGGGTTATATTTCTAAAAGTCTGCTGCAGCTTTATATTGGAATCACAATGTACTTTCTCATGCAAGTAATTTATAGATGACATGTGGGGTCTGGTTAACTGAAGAAAAAAGGAGCACTTAGTTCAAAATGTGGCTAACAAAGAATGGCAGCCATGAGCAACCCTGAGCTCTGAGCTGGTTGAGAGAGTCTGAGTAGTTAGGCAAGTATGCTAGTTGGCAAAGGTACACACAAGGGGTGTGTGCTTGCGTGTGTGTGTGTGTGTGTGTGTATAGCTCTGGTAGCAACTAGCATGGAAACAGTATCTCTTTTAATATAAGGTCATTTACAGTTTAAGGGCAAATGTATCAAGGCTGCTTAGCATCTAGACATGACCACTTTATAGGCAAGGACTACAGAATGGCTAACCAAATCCACGAATCAGTATTTCCATCCAGTGCTTTTAATATGGACTTCTCCTTTCATGAACCGGTAATCATCTTAATGTTAAATAATATCTCAATGTTATTTTTTTATGAACTTAAAAAGCAAAGAAAATCTAACGAGTTGAAGAAAACAGACTTAATTTTAAAAAAGCAATTCTGTGTATGGGTACATTTTTATTTTATTTTTGAAAGAGAGAGAATGCCCGTATGTGCATGGGGGGGGGGGCAGGGAAGGGGTAGAAAAAGAGAATCTCAAGCAGGCTCCATGTTCAGTGGAGAGCCTAACGTAGGGCTTAATCCGACAACCCCACGACCATGACCTGAGCCAAAACCAAGAGTTGGATGCCCAACTGACTGAGGCACCCAGGTCCTCGTATGGATACATTTTTAAAAGGAATGTTCAGTTTAATTTTTGTTGCTCTGCAGTCATCAAATTAATCATCATATTCTACCTGGGTCTGAATATGTATTCTACCAGCTTAACAAGGTCACTCAGTGTGTGAGTGTGTAAAATATATTAATACTTGCATTCAGATGCCTGTGCATTCATTTTGATAGTTATCTATCCAAAAGCCCTCTCGGATTATACCTTTGTTAGAAAGTATATGCATATTTTTTTTTTTTAAGATTTTATTTATTTATTTGACAGAGAGAGACACAGCAAGAGAGGGAACACAAGGAGGGGGAATGGGAGAGGAAGAAGCAGGCCTCCCGCTGAGCAGGGAGCCCAGTGCGGGGCTCGATCCCAGGACCCTGGGATCATGACCTGAGCTGAAGGCAGACGCTTAATGACCAAGCCACCCAGGCACCCCAGTATATGCATACTTAAAATGCTAACCTTCACCATACTATGATTTCAACTAAACTAAGACATATGATAAAGCAAAA